TTTATCATGTTTGTTTTAAGGAAYGAAATTACAAATCGAAGTTCAAYGCACCTWATAGAAAACCATTCTCTTTATGACGAAAAACAATTAATCAAATCAGACTATGTGAAAGTTTTTCCTGTAAAGCATGTTTTAAGCAAAAAATTACGCTTTTAATTTTTGTTCATCGATGCTGTTTCATGTGCACGTGCAGCGCGTACGTCGATAGCCCTCTACCCGCATACAATAATATTACACTCACAATATTATCTTTGACAAATAATATAAATGCCATGGTTAGTGGCAATGAAATTTCATATTGCCTAAATATTGCCCCTTAACGAAAGTTGTCATATTATTACAATTTTAAAATGCGTTCCTATAACGTATTATTAGCCTCCATCAATACAATATGACGTTTTTTGTTTTTTGTTTAATCATAGTAAGTATATCGACTTTGCATGAATGGTCAATTGTTATATTTTATCGTTTCATCGTGGTGGATATAATATGAATATACATCATATTAAAGATGAGTACATTATAAAATTTAAAGATTCGTAGACGTAAAAAAAGATAAATATATTCAATCGATCAATTTAAATYTCCTCATCGTGGTCCATTYGGAATCATGTTATATAAATTGGTTTTTCGACAACTTATTATCTGGACGGCATTATCTAATTGGTTAAAATATGTCACTCAGATCAAGTTGTGTGTTGTGACTATTTAAGTCTCCGATTGAACACGGTACGTCAGTATGACGATTKCGTTAGCAGAGAGAAGRTACCAAACCTATATATTTTCTCTTGGAACGAAAAACATCATAATACATACTTCCAAACCGTAAATTATAGCGTACACGACAACAATCACGAACCGAAAAACTAAAGACAACAAAACGTCTCCAGAACACAATAMGACTCTGTGTGCACAGGTTACGAGTGTCAGCTTATTAAATATATAATATTTAAATATGGTTTGAGAAGTAAAAGTCATGATGTCGCCGTGAACATGACTAAACGTGGGAGCCGAGTCGTGTTTCCTTAATGGAAATTATAAGCGTACCTACCTGCATATTATTGTATATATCAGGACGTTAAATGAAAACAAAAAAAATACGTAAAGCGTATATATAGTGGCCATATTATGACGACTAAATTACTGTACAGGTACAAATGATGGGTATGCATTATATAATACGCGTGCGCGTTTTTCACTGAAATCCAAACGAATTATACGAATAAATTTTAGATTTTGAACTAATAAGTGAGGAATATATTGATTTAACAATGATATATGTTTTTTTTAAATTGTTTGTGTCTGTTATCACGTTTTGGAGTAGAAATAATGGTTCGATTTTTGACTTCAGCACCTCATTGAAAAGAAAAAAATTCATCTAGTTGGCACTTAGGGGGAGGTCAAAAGTAAAAATTTCCAATAGGTTTCAAAATTATTAAGAAAACCCATAAAAAAGTAATGAAAAAATGGGAATTTTCACGCATAATCAGTTTTCGACAAAATGTATTTATTTATTTTGCTGCAACTCAAAAACGAATCATTATAATTACTTGAAATTTTTAATAAATGTTTATATTAGCATTATATTATATTTACGATTAAATTTTCAAAATATTTTGACTTTTTTAAGTTATTTATAGACAGTTGAAATTTTCAATTTTTAGTTTTTTATTGAAATGCCTATAAAAAAATTTGATTGTCCAAAAATCTTTAAAATTTAATACAAGGTTTATTATAAGTTTTAATTACCTTTAAAAAAAATAAAAATCGTTGGCCAGCATTATTGTTTATATGCATTTACAGTTCAAATTGTTATGAAATACATATATAAAAATTGTRAAAATTTACATGGAATTATGAAGCTGAAAATTCATAAAATTGTTGTGATTTATACCTACGTTTAAAAAGCCCAAAATAAGGATCTCCATAACAATTTTCTTCAATTAACTGCAAAAAAAACTTCATAGTCAATATAGAAAACATTTTGTAAGTGTATACAAATATATTATAATTTAAATTTAGGTAATATAATATTATATCCTATAGACTGACAAATCATCTCCGTTCAGAATCGTTTTTCGTATACAATGATACCTATCATTGCATTTAAATTCAGCACATGCATTATAGTGACCTACTCTTCATCTCTACTAATTACTATATAGAAAAGCGATACCTACCTGCCCACTTTCTTTCTTTCTTATTTTTTATTGTTTTATTGATTAGTACGTATTATAATAATAAAATAAAGTCGATGTTTGTTCAGTTGCATGGTCATATAATATATACGATAAGAAAACTAATTTTAATAATGTACTCAAAACGGTTAAACTACGAATCAGCCATTATATTGTTATGGCCTGTTTGTCGAATAATTTACGTTATAAGTGCAAACCTAAAATATTATAATTCTAGTCGATAAAAAAAAAATAACAATAGTAAAAAATAAATTTATTAAATTAAATGTAAATTTAATAATTTGGTGCTTATTATATTGCGATATCATCATAATAATATTTTAATATTAGTTTATTATATAATAATACAGCAATTTCTCTCTAAAAAATAAGCAAAATCCGCTCGCGGGTTTTTGGCTCGACGTTTTATACCTAAAGCTAAGATTTTATTGTTACGAGAGACYGAGAACCGTATAATTACAATTAATTGTTTTATTAAAACAACAGTCGTAATTCGTAACATCGAAAAGGCGGACGGCCTAGGTACATTTATGATAAAGGTGTGTATTTGCGCTAGCACACTTGACGTTATTATTCGTGTTGTGTGCATGTTTTTTGTTTTTATTTCGAATATGAATGGTACCTATCGTAATTAAAATTACCGTAGAGCGGTGAATAAAATGATTTGTGCGATGATGGCTGAACGCAAATGCATAGGTATTGTACCTTATAAAAGTAATATAATTGTAATTTGTAACTGTTTCGGATACAGACGTTATCCCTAGCTGTTCGTATAATAATATAATATTTACGATATTCTTTGTTGTGACGTAAATAGCAATGACGGAAACAATAATATTTTTCTCATTTAACTGAAATTTTAACGAGCTTGAATATATTATATTAGAATTTTTTATTTTTATCTAAATATATACGACAATACAAGATAGTCTAATAATTACTATATTTGATATTCATAATTCGTGAAACCTGAAATCGTAAAAAAAACCTATTATGATAAAAGATTAACATACTATTTTAATATTTGATCTGAACAAATATCAACAAATTGGTTTACGTTTAAATTACGTACAATGAACATTACAATATAATATTATGATAAATTAATATTAAATCAACCAGAAGTCTTGAAAGTTGAAATAATGAAATACCTAGTAATTCAACACTATATACAGGTAAGTATAAACTATATAAAAAAAATTAACATTAAGCTATAAAGTTTAATTAGGTACGTCTACGCCATATTTAATTAATTTTTTTTAAGATAACAATTTTTTGCCATTGATATTATTTTTAAAAAGAATACATAATAACATTGAACAAAATATTCTACCCCCTCGATACACTGACGTATCGCGTATAGGAACGTACAAAAGCGAATTATTATTATCAAAGACGAAAACAAAACTTACACCGAGTAGGACGTATCTCTCGACCTCAAGATGAAAAGAAAATTCGACCCCTTGACGTTACGTTGTTTGAACGCGAGATACTGCGTTATTGATAATAAAAAATAAATAAAATAAATATCAAACGATGTTTACCAATCTATTGTATCAGGCAAAAACTGTTTTATAAGTGAACGAATATTTTATTGTATAACAATAGTAATAGGTATACACTACTAATATAGTTTGACGGGTTTGTTTAATCACCCGGTGACCAGCATCGAATTTTAAAGGGACGATCCTGAAAACAATTTTATTATATTTATATCATCATCATTATTGACCGTTTAAATTATAAACTGAAAAAATACGATAATAATAATAATAAAATAATAATAAATATATATATATTATATATAATAATAAAATTTCGCAAGTAGCATTTTGTCGGACATGGGTAGTGTGTATTTTTTGTACCTACGATGACGGCGGCGCATGCACAAGGGAGAAAGACAGATATTTGTTATTATTATTATTATTATTATACATGAACATATGATAATCAAGAATTCCATTGTTCCGTCGGTCGTTAATTTTATACGGCATCAATTATACTTGAATCGGATGGGACAGACGAAAAGGAAAGAAAAAAACCTCCAAAGTTTTAAGTATGCGTTTATAGTTTCAACGAGTTTTGCGTGGATCAAAAAACGCCGAGCCAGACCGTGAAAAAACAATACGACGTATACACACGCACACAAGYGCGTATATTATATAAATGATTTTAGTGCGGCAATATTAATTAATGTTTTCTTTTTGTTCCATTTCAATTAATGCTTATTGTTTGTTTTTTGTTGTTGGTACAAAAATAAAATAAATATAATATACCTATTAAAATCGTGGTCATACTTAATAATATATGATATAATATATTGACCGAAAAAAAATTCGTTTTATTGTTCCAAAAGCATTCTATCACAAATAAATACATGTGATACGTAAAAAAACACGAATTTATGTAGCTTTAAAAAACAATAACAACGCTTTTAAACATCAAAGGTTCACTATAGTTTTTACCATTAGATATTAAACTCTGTGGATATTAGGAAATGTTTGTCAAAACTCATATTTACTTGATGGTCATTTCGTGTTTAAACTGGTACATTACGGTTAATAATTAATATTTTTTAGTTTATCTATATATTGGTTTTTTGAAAAAAACTGAAAGTATGTACAATAATTGTTACGAGTATATTTAATTTTAAATGTATAATACTCTAATTAATAGTATTTATTATTTTTTTTTTGTTAATATACAATTTTAATGACAGTTTATTTGTATTAATGACTGGTAGTTGTTCTAAAGTGATAATTAGTAGACATTGTATTTACTCTTTCATAACTTTTGATTTAGGCTATCGGTGTCAGTCTTATTTTCAAACCAAACCTATACATTAGTCAAAACGTTACAACAATTTATTCAACCACGAAAAATCAAAAACCAAAGATATAAAGGAGGCACGCCAAATATTTTGCCCGTAAGTATTAAAAATTCATCATGTATTTATCGAAGTAATACTACTATTGTTTAGAGCTAAATATTATTGTGTATTAATGTGATTAAATCATATATTTTGGAAGCAACAATCAAATCTGATAACATCGTTTACAATCAGGTACTCACAAAAAATCTTTAGTTATAAAAATATGATATTGTTTTTAAAGTAATAATAAATACAACTTATTTAAGTAATTTATGCCATTATATTTTACCATGCATTATAGGTGCTCCAAATTTTTCAATTATTGTGAATTTTTAACTAAACTATACATATTAATAGAATTTATAATGTGTTATTAGATATTTATATTGATTTCATCATAAAATGTCCTATTAGTAAAATTAATTATTACATATTTATGCATATTAATTTGATATATTTGTAGTATTTTCCGTAGTGTATATAAATACATCATTACATATATCAATATATCATAGACCAAGGGGATCTATGTATGCGCAATATTGTATACCTTTCGTTCGAATACCTTATTTTATTCGTTGACACCAAAGTTGTGATTAATATTATCTAAAACCATCACTCGAAATTATCATTCACCACTGTAATGAGGAAAGGATTTTAATTTTAATTTGATTCTGATACCTACCAAGTAAAGTTCAAACAATTTTAGATTCTGAGCGGAGCGAGGAATGTATTGATTTTACCATGATGTGTGTGTTTTTTTTTGTGTCTGTCATCACGTTTTGGGGCAGTAAAAATCCTTCGATTTTCGACTTCAATACCTTGTTCGATCAGAAAGTGAATCTAGTTGGTACTTTCGGGGATCAAAAGCGAAAAATTCTCAATATTTTTTCTAAATAATAATCGGAATAAACAAACTAAAAATTAAGGAAAAAACGGGAATTTTTACGTATAATCAATTTTCAACAAAATCGATTTTTGTTTTTGATGTAACTTTAAAACAAATGACTATAAATACATGAAATTTTCACCAAATGTTTATATTCTATTAACCATAGATTTTCAAAAAATTTTGACTTAAGTTGAACTATTTATAGGCATATGCAATTTTCTATCATTATTAGTTTTTTTAAATTAATATCGATAAAAATTTATTTGTTGGGTAGAAAAGCTTGAAAATTTAATACAAGGCTCCTAACATATTTTTATAATAGTTGTCGAAAAATAAAATCAAAATCTTTTTATAAGCATTCAAAGTTTAAATTCTGACAACATACGTAAAAATCACGAAAATTCTCAAATTATTTTATGCCACAAATTCATAAAAAATTTTCCTTTTATATCTAAGATTTGAAAATTAAGACAAAGCTCTTAACATATTTTTACAATAGCAGTTAAAAAATAAAAGAAATACATAGTCACAATTATTTTACAAGCATTTAAATTTTATTTTATTTTATTTATTTTTTATGTTATTATATTTTTATACATTCGGAAGATTTTAATGTTGGTACCTATAGTATCTATCTATACCGTAACCTATTCCAATAAATTACAATGTAAAAAAAATTAAAAAATAAATTTATTTTTATGTTCACGAGGTTAAGTTTTCTTGATCTGCAGACCGTAATCCATTAAAAAACCATGCTTACAATGAGTTACAATGACAATAAATACATTTTTCATATATATCTCCTATGTGTATTGTATATAATTGTGTATAAAATATAAACTTAATAATATTATGTCTGACATTTTACTATTCCCAAATAATAGCTTTTAGTTATTATCATTCAGTATTCATTTTTCTAGTAAGTCTGAGAAACTAATATAATATAATACAAATCTACTTGAATAGATGATGAAATGCAATATATAAAGATTATATAAGTAAATTTTAAATAATAAGTATTGTGATTTGTTATATATATATACGTATATAACATTTCTCACATAAGCTTAAAACGTAGAAGTCATTCAGTCAAACATATTTTTCACAAGGCTGGTCTAAACTACTCATACGAATTTGATGAACAAGTATTATAACACATGAAATATATTTCTTGGTACTTTTTCTTAGGACTCAAAATAGTATACCGTTTGCTGTATATTCACATAATACGATTTTAATTTGACACTCATAATAGTAATTTGTTTTTTTCACAGTAAACATTTTTGAAAAAGCATCGTATAATATATAATATTATGGTTTCGGATAATTTTAGGATCGCTTTACGATTCTTACATTCAATTACATAATCGATTCAACACACGAACAAGTTTGGTGCGGTACCTTTATACCTATAGTTTTGTGAGATGATTCCGATGGCACTCATCATCGGGTCTTTTTAATCAATTCGTGTACAGGAAATAACGTTGACTCTAGTGGTGGCGTGGTGGCGATGGCGTGGCGCGGAGTATACCTTGAACACACCAGTCTGAGGGTGTGAACGGTCAAAAACTCGAAACGTTCCGACCCGCGAGTTCGGAGATCTGACGGGAAACGCTAACGACCATGAACTCTAATGATAATGACATTTTCGGTCCCATCATAGGCCCTCGATCCACGCTAATGGTGCTACAGAAGAGCCACATGTTATGAAATGTCCAAAACCCTTAGAAACGCCGCGTACTCGTAAAGCAATTATTATGATTATGATTATTATTTTTATTATTATTATTATTATTATTACGGTTGTGTTTATAGTAAATTATTGTTGGTAGCGTTTATGTAGAAAAAAGACAGATGTATATGTTTAATGTTTATTATTGTATACATATAAACGCGCATACAAGCACATTATATTATGTAATGCGGACGCGCAATTACAATGTCATTAGCATTTGGCCACTGTTCATCATGATTTATACAACGAATTGTACAGTAAAACTAGTGCGTAACCCTAAAAACATCGGGTTTAACGCGCTCGGAGGTCTTTAAATACGACAAAACGAGTTTCCGGGATGAATTCTAAAGACTTTTTTAATTCACAAATTGTTTAAGTCGTTGTTCTAAAATTAAACAAATTATAAATTATTATMTACTTTTTCTTACCCTCGGAGRATTCTAATAATTTTTATATTAGTATTTAATATTTATATCTTTTCATAKAATATGTTATRGTAATATGGTTTACAATATTTTTTTAAATATTAATAATTCCGTTGTTTTCCYGCCTTGTCGATAGTTATCTTAAGCAATCAACCGCCTTGATCACCTAATGTAAACAATTTGTTTGAATAATTTAACTTCCTACATTGAATTTAATGATTTTYTAATTTTCCGCGTATAGTATATAAATACTATTTTAGATTTACAAGTATCTGTAATAAATTAGAAAATGTTTACTCGTTTTTGGTTTTTGATGAGATTTGGCACAGATCACAGCTGAAGATAAACTGGTACCATACAAACACTTTGGAACGACTGAAGTTCTTGTGCCTCAGATGCTATGCAGTTGATTGTTATCGATATGTATGGAATGGAATATGATATGGGTCATGGGATTGATTTGTTTCGGACGAATCATCGGCATTTATGTATAATATACTACAGACCGACGGTAACCTTTCGAGGTTAGGTAAACGAAAATATCCGATCATGGCCTTTGTCGTTTGCGGTGGTAGTTGCAAAAGTCGYGAGCGATAAATGCTGCAATATAATAACTCCATTATACAACCCGAGAATTACGACGGTGGTGAGCTGCAATGCGACGTGCAGGCGGGTATAAACCATGCACAAAACCTATATATTATGCACACAACTGTGGTGGGGACCAAGACGAAATTATGTAAATCGAATTTGTGACTAGAGTTTTGCTACATAAGAGCCGGG